ATAATATCTGTCTGTCTGTCTGTCTGTCTCTCTGTCTGTCTGTTTCTCAGTCGGACGTTGCGTCGCTGGAACCGAGTCTGTCGCAGGAACTGTCGCACTGCTGTGAAATCGGTGACGTTCTATTGGCTCGTTCTGCTGCTCGTCTTCCTCAACACGTCCCTCAGTGCCTCCGAGCACTATGACCAACCTGATTGGCTGACGCAGGTTCAAGGTGACACACACAAGAATTTGGATTTGTCAAAAAATGTAAAAGTTCTAAAGGACCAACTTTATGTAGTGCATCCCCCCTGAGGCGTTCAGCAACCACAGTCAATAAAGGAAGATGTTCCCATCAGATAACATTACAGATCATTAATTATCAGTGTAATAACTGGATCTCTGTATGAATGTTGGGATTAACTGTGTGTGTGCAGACATCGCCAACAAGGTGCTGCTGTCTCTGTTCACGGTGGAGATGCTGTTGAAGATGTACAGTCTGGGTCTGGCTCATTACTTCGTGGCGTTCTTCAACCGCTTCGACTGCTTCGTGGTGTGCGGCGGCATCGTGGAGACCATCCTGGTGGAGCTGGAGATAATGCCTCCTCTGGGGATCTCCGTGCTGCGCTGCGTCCGCCTGCTCAGGATCTTCAAGGTGACACGGTGAGAAAACACACCTGAGCTGACCCGAGGGCCCAGTTATGATATCATGCTAACAGACTGAGTCCTCCCCCCTCTGATGTCACTCTCTGTCTGCTCAGCCATTGGACGGCTCTGTCCAATCTGGTGGCGTCCCTGCTGAACTCCATGAAGTCCATCGCCTCCCTGCTGCTGCTGCTTTTCCTCTTCCTCATCATCTTCGCTCTGCTCGGCATGCAGCTGTTCGGAGGGAAGTTCAACTTCGACGAGACGCAGACCAAACGCAGCACCTTCGACGCCTTCCCGCAGGCCCTGCTCACCTGCTTCCAGGTAACCTTCAACCAGCGCCGGTACATAGACTATAACTGTCATTGAACTGTAGCTAACTGCGCCCCCAGTGGCCCTTCAGTGAACTTCAGTCAGCGTCCTGTTGCTCGTTCGTTTATCCTGAATTTTTTACAATTTTGGGGGGATTTTCCTGGAACATTTTTTGTTTTGACAAGAAAAGAAAAATCTGACATTTTCTTGGGGAAATCTGTTTGTTGCAGTTGTTCTACTCACACATGTTAAAGAATATAAATAATACTGAATATTACAATATCTAACAAAATATATAGAATAGAAATAGGTATATACATATAAGTAAAAGATTAAAATATAATAAGAACCTATATACAAAGTAAAAGTAAATGTATTCCTCATTCCACAATATACTTTATATATAGTATATATATTATATATACTATATATAGCAGTGGCGAACCGTGAGCACTACAGCTGGGCCTTCACCTCGGCCATCACCGCTGAGAAAATAAATCATTGTGGAAAAAAGCAACAGTACGATGAATTAAAAGGGTTTAACAAGTGCAATCCTTTAATTAACAATGACAAGGATGTAAACAAATAGACCATAACGTCAATAACATTCTCTGCAACAAGAAACATTCTCAACATTAATTCAAAAACTGGAGAACAAATTTACTACCACTATCCAGAAATAACACCAACGATATCTAAACGCCAAATCTGGAAATATAAAAATTGCTCACCCAGAATTCACCTGTGATGCTGCCGACAACACGGAACACTGAAGGCTCATTTCATCATCATGGACAGCGCTCATCAGCATCCACCGCGCGCGCATCACCACATCATCCTCACGCACCATTGACAAATAAATTCATGAGCATCATCAATCTACAATACAATTTCAAAAGCGGTGTTACTTACCTCCAGATATGTACCTCAGCTCCTATTATTAAAAAACGATGAGTAACACCAAAAGGAAGATAGATTACCTCACCTATCCTCACCTCATCTGCTCACGCTCTCTGTACTATCTGCCACCACCACCACAAGAATTTTGAATACAGGTACATAATCGATGTCATAAACTTAAAATTGCCTGGAGGTGCCGATGAAAACAGTGGCCGAATCCAGATGACATCCAGATGACGTTTCAGGATCTCTCTGTTCTGCCTGACCTTGTTGTTGTGGGCCGTAGTATGATTACGGCGCTGCTCTTTTAGCTGAAGATCATTCTTGTGTCCCCAAAAGTTTTCAAACTGACCGTCGCTTGCAGGTGTGCCGCAGAATCTTGATGTCGGTGGGCTGACTTTGTCAGATTTGTAAGGCTGACAAATCCGCCGCTGACCCAGGTGGATGACTTGTCAGTTGTAAAAAGTAAACAACTCCAGCAGTACAGCCTGTTTGTTTTCTTACAGCCCGTCATCCATGGATATCGCTGATAATTTTCGGTCTTGAAATGCCTTTCCGCTTTCTTAACCTTTTCTGGAGTTCTGGAGTTTGTCTTCCGTTTTTTTATTATTTGAAGTTTTTCTGTGAAAGGCCGCCTTGAAAAAGGCGATGCTATCAAGCTAGCCACAACGTCACTCTCGTCTTCCGCCATTTAAATTTGTCTCTCAACCGCTCTCACCACTCTGCAGAGATTCCGATGTTCGGACTTCATGAAGGCCTACGATCTTTTGTTTTTTTCCCGCCCACTTGAAATCAAACCATGAT